CATAAGCTCTATGTTAATAGTTTCTTGTAACCATAAAATTGTGTTATCCTACTGCCTTGCTCACTGACTTTTAACCCCTTTTTAGCTCTGGCTTTCACATGTAGTCACATGTAGACAAGAATACTGTCAACAAGGCACATTCATTTCTTTTGTCTTCCTTTAACTTTTCAACACTCTCACACTCATATACATACATGGTTGTTACGTGCACATACTAACACATACACATACAAACAAACCCATTCTTCTTATAACCTGTTTTTTGGTTTTTCCTTGCATTACAATTGTCTACACATGTAATTCCTTTTGTTAATACATGCATTGTAATATATTTTATATTCATTGTTTCTGTTTTTCTTATTTTCACCTTGATTCACATTAAGTCTATCAATACTGTTTGTGGGTTAAATGTTCCAGGAGCCCGCAAATATTTACTATCCAAGGTGTTAATTCCCACAACATAATTGGGGTTAAAATTTTCCCAACCATACGACTAGCATCCCACAAGAAGCTCTATGCTAATAGATCCTTTTAACCCTCAGATTTATTTCAATAGTTCCTTGTAACCAAAAGCTCTATGCATGTAGTGAATGTGTGTCAGTACAGATGAAAAAGAGGTCCTGGATCATGTGCAGACATGTTTGTCAAAACAAGTTGCATCTGGGTTTTTCTCATTAGCAGCAGGACAGCTTACTAACTCTAGATGCGTGGCTCTCTGCAACTGGTCACGATCTAGGTATTTGTAAGATGTCTCATGCAAATAAAAGCAATGGGAAAACCAGCAGTCAGCAACTGGAAAGACATGTTGTCTTGTGAATTTGGCCTCTATGGAATTTTGTTTCTAAAATTGCTGTGGTTTCCATGCTTTTTTTTTTTTTTTTGACTTCCTGTCTCTTTTCCCCCTCTCTGTCTATTACCCACTTAGGAGAGCAATTACTTAGATGTCTTCCCCTCCACAATCTCAACACACTCTTGCCGTACATTGCAACAATGCTAATTGTTCATTTCCTGCATTTCCCACTTGCGGAACACTCCTCTGGCTTCTTGCTTTCCTCTCAACTACAATCTTCAAAAATTTAAAACAATGTCAATGATCAATATCTGTCTCTTTATATTTCCCCTGCTGTTTCTATCAATTCTCAATAATCCCCTTTCGTCTTAATGGCACTTATCACATTATTTTATATGAAATGATTTAAAATTTATTCTGAAAGGGTAATGTGAAAATTGTGAAAATTTGCCAGGCAAGCTGTAAGAATTTCTGTATTGTCACCAAAGAAGCATTTCTTTTTGCATTGTTCTCACAGAATTTAACATATTTGATGCATATTTTATGTTGAAAAAATCCTAGATATTATTTTATTGTGCAGCTTATAAGAAAAACATCATGCCTCAGAAACAAACTGAGATAAGCCAGATGGATATTTTATGACAATATGGAATGCAGAAAATCAGGAGGCAAAAAGACTGGCTCTCCAAAGACTACCGTGTATCAAAGATGGCGCTATGCATATGACGTTATCAAAATAGGAGGATTTATTATGATCACTTTCCAATGAACTTAATGATTGATTCAACCAAGTACTACTTCTAGTCAGTACAATTGAAAGCATCAACCAATAAAATGTATCTGGCGTTAGTTAAAAGAAAAGTTTGCAATATATCTATCAGAATAACACGAGGGCTTAGCTGGTGTAGTAGCACAGATTAACACCCTCCTAGAATATTGTTTAGCATAGTCCAGAATATAGTTGAGGGTATGACTGGGGCTAACTTAATTCATACCTTGAGGAATAAAAATCTAGTCTAAACTATGACTGACTATGCTCATTTATATCTGGTTTTGCTTGTCTGAAGGATAATTAAGCCTGCTGAAACTTTTCACAAGAGTAAAAAGATTAACTCTTTAACTAGACACTTATCTAACATTTTCCATTTTTTTATTAGTCACAGTCTTATAAAATTTACCACATTTGTCAGCATATAAAATGTGCATTTAAAAATACCTATGCAACTCTTGCTATTCATTGTATGTACAGGTATTATTAAAGGTTCTTCTAACAGAACTTAAAATGGACAATTATGGAGTTTTGATGATTTCAGGGAGCAGCAGACCCTAAATATTTTTTAAAAGATTGTGTCTTATAAGCCAGGATCACCATATGGAAGATTTACCATATATCTATGGTAAATCTTCCATATGGTGATCTTCTAAGCATAGCTTAGATGTAGCACAAGGCCGAAAGTATGGAGCACCCAGTGAGTATCAAACTCACTATTCAATCATAACTGGTCTAGTGAGACAAGCTTGCTAGCCATTACACCATGTCGGGGTGTCTAAATCATCCATATGTGCAATCATTTCAAATCTTCCATATGTTTGAATCATTTCAAATCTTTCATATGTACAATCATTTCAAATAGTCATATTGTATTATTGATTTTTTAATTGTATTAAAAAAATATTTGCCAGTTGTTTTACATGGTTTAACTTTATCACTCAATGCATCAATAAAACAGATTGTGTTTTTGTCAAGTGATGAAATCTCCAGACGGAGTTTTCAGCAAGAGATCAATGGTGGGCAAGGCTACAAAAAAGTTTTACAACCATCTTGGCATTTCATCTGAGTTTCATGCCAATTATTCCAGAGGGGGAGCAGGAGAAAGACTGGAAACTGGAAATCTGGACCACAAAGTAGAAATTGATAAGTGCTGTTGAAGACGTTCGTCATGGAAGGAGACAAGAGTCCCTATGATCAATGTTCAACTGATAAAGAACTTATTGAAAACCTATCCCAAACATAAGTTTTATGCAAAATATTGGAAAGCAAGTCTTATAAGTTTTTTCTCATGCCAACTTATGGCAACTTTTTCAGTTATTTCTTGATATCAGGATATTTCTATGAAGATTGTGATGGGTATATTTATTTTTTTTTTATCTTAATTTATTAAATTTCTTTTCATATCAAATTTAACTCAGGCCATTTATCATTATGTTAATGGGTTGTTTATATGTATAGGAGGGGAAGATGACAGTTAACTCTAGTCTTGAACGGGTTAAGATTGTTGTGATCAGGGAAACATCTTGGGAGTTTATTCCAGAGTGTTTTGGTTTGTGGTAAGAAGCTGTTCAAGTGGAACTTACTTCTTGCGGATGACATACAGAGGGGATGTGGGTTGTTTTCTATGTAAATGGCATGGTGGGTCCTAGAGGTGAAGGTTAAACATGGCAGAACCAAGAAATGTAGTCTCTTCTGAGCACTTTCTATGCTAGTATTGATCGAGCAGTGAAAGACTCACCACATCCCATCTGTGCAAAAGTGGTTGAAGGGTGGAAAATAATTCTTCTCCAACAAGAATACAGAGATGCTTTTGAACTCTATGAAGACTGGAAAGTATGGACCAGACAGTTCCTGCTCAAATATGACAAGAGTAATCCATTTTCGGCCTGATCTGGCTCTTATAAATGTAGAGGATAGCATGCAGAGGGAGGTACTTACTTACCTGCATCTTTAGCAATGGATTGTATATAAAAGTTCCACTTTCATTTTGGCTCTGAGTAGCAGCTATTTTAATTCCTAAGGTATGGGAATTTGATAGCTTTATAGACAATATCTAATGTCTTATACATATATATATATATATTTTTAATCAGTATCACCACCAAACAAGGCAGTAATTTCACTAGAACACAAGGGGTTACAGGGTGTAGAAGAATTAGGGACAGAAACGATAATTATGAGCAGAAGGAGAAGTGAGAGATCTGTAGGAGAATCTGAGAAAAGAAACTGTTAGCATAGAATTTACAGCTACATCTAGCCAGGTCATCTGTAAATTGATGAGATCTCGATGACAGTCTAGTAGTGTGCTTAAATTCAAAAAACTCTAGGTACCATAGTGAAGAGATCATCCAAACAATTACAATGAAAGTATTTATAGAACAGGCACAGAGAAGCTATCTTACAGTGGAGGGAAAGTGACTGGAGCCAAGCTGCCAGATCAGGACAAATAATATTACTGATTTTTCTATGGATCATATCAAGGAGCTCAAGCAGGGGTAGCAGACCATATATGGCAACAATATTCTGTGCATGGTAGACATAGATATACCCATCAGCATGATAATTGTTTCTGCTTGTGGCAACAGAGTAGTGAGAGACTCACCACATCCCACCTGTGCAAAAGTGGTTGAAATGTGGAAAATAATTCCTCTCCAACAAGAATCTGGAGATGCTTTTGAACTCTATGAAGTCTGGAAAGTGAGGACCAGGCAGCTCCTGCTCAAATATGACAAGAGTCATCCATAACGTACAGCAGAAAAATCTTCTTGAATCAAAAGAGACATGATCACTTAAGTATGTATTGCATATAGCACTTAACTGACTATTACTAACAGTAAAGATATTTTTATTTTATCATTTTGTTTTGTTTGTTTTTTTAGTGGCATATCAACTCCTTATGGGGCCTTTAATTGAAAAATTTAATTTTCTTGCAAGCATTAGTAATTTCTTTTACAAAAATGTATTCCTGGAAACTACTTTCCTTTTTTTTCAAAAATATATTGCTGGTAATTTTTTTTAACATTGAAAATCTATTGCTGGTATTTTTACATTGAAAATCTATTGCTGGTATTTTTACTATAAAAATGTATTTTTATACTTTCATAGCACTTTAACCCACATTTGGAAGTTAACTATTTGCCCATAGCTGGGACCCTAACAGGTGCTACCACCCCAGGTCATGGTTAATCTGGGAACAACAGCAATTAAGAGTTGGTTCCATGCTCCTCAAAACCTCCTCATCAGAGGTCTTGCAACCGGATGTAATTCATTATTTAATCTCTTTATATGCATCAACAATTAAATGTTTGATAATGCTTCGCTGAATAAAAAAGTTGGATGAAAGTAAATACTAGTAAAAATTAAATGATAATTATTGATAATGCTTCATTTAATAAAATAAAAATGAAGATGAAAGCAAATACAGGTTAAAAATTAATATTAATAGATGATAATGTTCAAAGAAAGAAAGAAAGAAAGAAAGAAAGAAAGAGGAAAAACAAAGGAATGATGAAAACAGAAAAGCAAAAAAGAAAAAAAGAAGAAAGAAAGATGACAAGGTAAGAAAGAAAGAAAGAAAGAAAGAAAGAAAGAAAGAAAAAAGAAAGAAAGAAAGAAAGAAAAGAAGACTTGGAAAAGTAAGAAAGAAAAAGAAAGAAAGAAAGAAAGAAGACAGGAAAAAGTAAGAAAAAAGAAGAAAGAAGGATGACAAGAGAAATGACAGAAAGAAAGAAAGAAAGAAAGAAAGAAAGAAAGAAAGAAAGAAAGAAAGAGGAGAAAAAAAGGAATGATGAAAACAGAAAAGCAAAAAAGAAAAAAAGAAGAAAGATCACAAGGGAAAAAAGAAAGGAAAGAAGACATGGAAAAGTAAGAAAGAAAAAGGAAGAAAGAAAGTTGACAAGACAAAAGAAAGAAAGAAAGAAAGAAAGAAAAAAAGAAAGAAATGAAAAGAAGGAAGAAGACAAGAAAAAGTAAGAAAAAAAAGAAAGAAGGATGACAAGAGAAAAGAAAGAAAGAAAGAAAGAAAGAAAGAAAGAAAGAAAGAATTAAATGAAAAGGAAGAAGACAGGAAAAAGTAATAAAAAGAAGAAAGAAGGATGACAAGAGAAAAGACAGAAAGAAAGAAAGGAAGAAAGAAAGAGGGGAAAAAGAAAAGAGAAAGAAAAGAAATTGAAAAGAAAGAAAGAAAAGATTTCTGATGATAAGAAAATAATTATTTCTGATTACTAAGTACATTTTGTCAAGTTTAGAAGCAAAAGCAGCCAATCCCAGGGGACAATTCTTAAGCAAAGATTTGTATGGCTTTTATGAATGATATAAAAGATGTATGACTGTATTGACCTCGGGTGTCACAAACAGGTCACCCCTTCTTAACCTTACCTCTTGACCTGCTTCCATTACAGAATAGTTCTCTTTCAATAAAGAGTGGGGTTGGGGAGGGGCAATACACAATATGCAAAACCAGCCAATCAGATAATTGCCTTCTATGATCCATAGAGAGTAGGTTTAATATATTTAACATCCATTGCAATGATGTTGTTAAAATATTCTTAAGCTTTATTCAAAAAAGGTTTATATCCTTGTAAATATTCTACAAAGACTTAAATAAGTGGGCTTAAAAAAAAAAAAATTATTCCTAAATTGTGTCATGTCTCAGTTTTTAGTTGTTTATTATAGTCAAGCAGATGATAAAAATGGGCAAGCTGCCAAAATGAACCAATATTCTGGGAAATTGATTATTTGTCAATCGATCTAACCACCTAACTTTCGAACATCCACTTACAAAATATGGACATTTGTATCGATTTATTAATATACTCCATATTACCTATATACCCTATATCTATCTAGATGTAATCATTTATTACACCTTAACAGTGCTGTAACACTTTATTCATACACTCCTGAACAAAAAATAAGCTGGTGCCAAAATGTGAAATGTCTATTTGGAATGCAGCAAAATATTTGCAGAAAGACTTTCTTCCAACAAATGAAAAGTTGATTTCAAGAAAAGGAACATCAACCAAATAATTAATTTTCCAAAAGACAATACTCCTGAGCAGACAGCAAAGGCCACCAAAATGTGGCAAGATAAGAAGTCAATCAGGCTCATGTTTTGGCCTGGTCAGATTCTAAATTTGAAATCTATAGAGAATATTTGGTCTCACATTATACAAAAACTGGGAAGTATTTTTCAACTATTTACCAACAGTTTGAATGGAAACAATTATAACGAACAACCCACAAATTGACCTAAAATCTTAATCTTTTAAAGAAAACAAATAGAAAAACTAATTAAATTACTAGTTAAATTACCTTATCAATTTAAATCTTGTTTATTTACAAACAAAAATTTACTGTTATTACCATTAAACCTTTAACAATTTTCCATTTTGAACTTGGACCATTTTTTGTTCAAAAGAAAGGGTCACTTAAGAACTAGTTCAACAATTATTACACAATGATCTATTTTGACTAGTCTCCTCATCTGGGTTTGGTTCCCATAGGATCACTGAAATTAAGCAATGTTGAGCCTGGTCAGGAAGAAGAAGAAAAGAACATCAAAATTGGAGAAAAAATATATCATAATTCTGATATATTTTTTCTCTTATGTCAGAGTCCAGATTTGAATCCTATAGAAAAAATTTGGTCTCACATTAAACACAAATTAACTGGGCAACATTTTTCAACTAATTATTAACTATTTGAAGCCATCAGCCTTGAATGGATTAAATTTGACCCTTCTTATTTTCAGATGTCATTTTTCAACATTACACTGCAAAGACCACCAAAATGGCAATTCGGAATAGGTTCAACAGTGCCATGTTTTTGGTTTGACCAGTGTCAAGAATTAGAGAATTATATTTTTTTGCTCTAAGGCCGGGGGGGCCACTCGAGGTAGAGGGTTATGATAAAGAGTAATTTTTATGGATAAGAGGGTTAAATCTATACTTGAACAGGTTAAGATTGTAGTGATTGGGGAAACATCCTCAAGGGAGTTTGTTCCACAGGGCAGTGGTTTGCAAGAAGAAGCTGTTTGAGTGGTACCTTCTTGCTGATTGAATATGGAGGGAATGTAAATGGCTTGCTACAATGTAAGTAACATAGTGTGCTCTAGCACTGATGATTAGACCTGTCAGAACCAAGGAATGTAGTTTCCATGCTAGTAGTCATAGATCAGTGGGAGACTTGTTACATCCAACCTTCATAAGAGTAGTTGCAGGGTGGAAAATAATTCTTCTCCAACAAGGATATGGAGATGCTTTTGAACTTTTTAAAAACTGAAAAATAAGGACTGGGCAGTTCCCACCCAAGTATGACAACAGTACTCCATTTTCGGCCTGATCTGGCTATTATAAAGGTAGAGGATAGCATGAGGGGTCAGGTACTTATTGGAGTGGTACTGGGAGCTGATCATTTTATCTGCACCTGTAGGGATGGATCATTTAGAAGAATCCCACTTGAGTTTGGGTGTGAGTTTGAGGATCAATATTCCCTCAAGTCATGGAGCTTCCACAAGGGGACATCTGTTCATTGTGACTGGCAGTAGTTCAGGATCTGATACATTACTTTATTTACATGTTGACTATTGTCCTTATCTTTGTTGTTATTATCACAACATGTCAGCTGTTATGTTTTCCAGCATTCATCAAATACTGGTAATCTTCAGTGAAGATAATTTTGTACTAATGCAGGTGTCCGCCAGGGCTCTATCCTTGGACCTACTTTGTTTTTTTTAATTTTTATCAATGACCTTCCTGATGGCATCAGTTCCCAATTTAATATCTATTCTGATGACACAACCATTTACTCCTGTCTTGATAGTAAATCTGATCACTTCAATATGGTCAAATTGGCAGCTGATCTAAAAAATAACCTACAGTCTGTTGTTAACTGGGACAAGTAATGACTTTTTAATTTTAAAGCCTTCAAAATGAATTCCTCTCTATCAGTCATCTGAAAGACCCATTCCTGCCTTCAATCAGCATGGCTGATGCTAAATTGTATAAGCGTGACTCATTGTGTCTTCTTGGGCTAATGTTCTTGACTGACATGAAGTGTAGAAAGATTATATTGAATTTAGTTTTGTGTCAGCTACCAAGAAAGTTGGGTCACTCTATCATGATAGACATTTTTTCTCTCCTTAATCTATCTTACATATTTACAAGTCTACTAATTCATCCAGGCTTTCAATATTACTGCCACTTATAGTCCAGTCTTCCTTTTATATATTTAAAGTCTTGATAAAAAATTCAAATAATCAGCAATATTATTGGTCCTGGCCTCTCATCACACCTTCAGTCACTTTCTCACTACAGTAATGTAATTTTCCTATGTCTTTTCTATAAATTCTTTCATGGAAAGTGAGGATCAGTCAGACCAGACCAAATATGACAAGAGTCACCCATAACCTACTGCAGAAAAATCTTCTTGAATCAAAAGAGACATGATCACTCAAGTATGTATTGCATATGGCACTTAACTGACTATTACTAACAGTAAAGATATTTTTATTTTATCATTTTGTTTTGTTTGTTTTTTTAGTGGCATATCAACTCCTTATGGGGCCTTTAATTGAAAAATTTAATTTTCTTGCAAGCATTAGTAATTTCTTTTTAATGTATTCCTGGAAACTATTAGGTTGGTGCAAAAATAATTTCGTTTTCTAACATATGTTACTATGTAAGAAAACGAAATTATTTTTGCACCAACCTAATACTTTCCTTTTTTTTCGAATTCTTTCATGGTAATTGTTCAGATGTATTCTTTACTATGTCACCTAGACTTTATGAATCCAAGTGCATTACTACATTGGCAGCAATGTCTCATAAATTCAGAGTTGAATAAACTAGATGTAATGATAGTTTCTATACTAACTGTTTATTTTCTCACACTTCTCACTTGTGGAACTCTTTTCTGGCTTCATGCTTTTCAACTAACTTTGACCTTCAAAAGTTTAAATGCAATGTCAATCATTATATTCTGACTTCTTCATTCTTTTTTTTATTGATCTTGCTCCTTAATAAAATTTCTCTTTTTTCTTATTCTTTCACATTCAGTCATACCTTGTGTCTTAGAAGCCTTACTGCCCTGCATCGGGTAACATGATTAAAAAAACATAAATCAAACTGAACACTTTATTTAATCTACAAGAGTAGACTGTTTTTATTCTTCTAACCAAGATCTAGACTCTAGAACTAGATGAAATATCGAGTACCGCCCAATAGGTTTTTGTCAGGGACATCAGAACAGGACATGCAATATTCCTGAACAGAATGATAAAGAAGGATGTTTTATAGACTATATAAAAACATTTGATAAGATCTATTTGAATGAGTAAAAAAATAGAATATGTTTAGATAATATTAGAATAACCCAGAACATTTACATGGAACAAACTATCTGCATACTAAAAAGCATTTTAGCAAGTACACAAAAAAGGGGGCATATGACAAGGGTGTGTTATCTCATCAGATTTATTTAACCGCTACAGCAAAACAACCGTAAAAAAAAACTAGAAGTCCTCCTCAGATTTATTATCATTGGTGCAATCTTAACAACAAAAAAAATCATCTGAGCCTGAGAATATTTCTGTGATGATTCTATCAGGCCTTGCTGTTTTTTACCTGTTCATCTTCTCTCATGACGATCTTACTTCACATTCTGAAAAAAACATTTGACATATTCCCTCCATATTTGTAGAATTTTTTTTTTCTATTATCACTGCTATTCCTTTGATTTTATTGTCTGTTGATTGACTCACTTCACTTCAAGTAATGCGATAATGCCACTAAGACACAACAAAGAGAGTGAAAAGACTTTAGAAGGCATTGGGAACCCAGTCCTAAACAAGGAACAAGGGATAAACCTCGACTTCTGTTCAGAATACCAGGGAGAAGTGTGAACTGGTTGATAAGCAAACCTACTCACTCATATTGAAGAAAAAAGAGAAGATAAAAAGGAAATAAATAATTAGTAAATAAAATTTCAGTGTTAGGATGGAGATGTTAGAAGTATAGACTGACAATGGAATAAGAACTGTATGGCTTTGTCAAGGACAATGGAACAAGAAATGCAATATTCATGATCAGAATCATATCAGAGAGAGCAATACAAATGCAGAAGGATGTGCTCTTATGTTTTATAGATTGCACAAAAGCATTTGAAAAAGTATGGCAAAAGGATCTAATTGAACAGCTAGGAAAACTAGAATAATCCAGAACTTGGAGAAAACA